TTTTATTCGGTGGGCTCCATTTTGTATCTGCTTGGATTTGTTAAAATCAGTTAATATTTTAAAGTGATGAGTCTCGTACATGGCTTAATATATTTTATATTCTAACAACAAGTATTACATGTTTCTTAAAAGGCGGTTCGTTAACTCATGAAGAGAACCTCGTGAATACAATATTATTTCAAATAAGAACCGTAAAGGTTTAAACACGTGCGCGTTTAAACGCAACACATATGCTAATTTAGGGTGGGCTAATACACATAAAACAAAATTAATTAAACTTCAAGGCTTGCAAAACCAAGCTTGTAAAGCAATTCATTGTCTAGGTAGAATGGACGATCTTTCTAACGTGATGACAAATATGAAAATCTTATACTTGGAAAAACCTAAATTATATCAGATTATAATTTTTATGTTCAAATATAAAAATAATATGCTACCAAATTCTTTTTTAGACATATTTTTATCATCATTTTCTCAAAGTTAAGTTCTGCGACCAAGCGGTTTCTGTAACTATTATATTAAAAAACTTAAAACCCGGGGTTCTGAACTTTTTTTCTACGTAATAAGGTGCCAAAATATGGAAAAAACTTGAAAAATCAAAAAATAAAAGACTTAACTGATATATCGTCGTATTATATAAAAGAAAATTCTTATATCATTGGAGAATGTCGTGGAGAATATAGTTATATCGTCGAAATATTGTTATATTGATTGTCTTTAACAGCAATCTTTACTAGAGTGAGGAAAGTAATTTGACATTTTTCTTTAGTTACCATGTTGCTATGGCAATGAAGTACCTTATTCTTGATAAATGATAGATGATATATCTTATTAACATTTTTTGTACTTTTATTTGGAAAATGAAAATTATTTCGTTACTTGAAAAAATAATTTTTTGAGTTTTTTTTTCCTTAAACAACGAGCACACCTGCATATTATTAGTTTGTAAAAAGGCAGACGAAAGAGACTTTAAATGTAAAAACAGTCTCTTTAAACTATAAATTTGCTACCGCGACAATTAAGCTACATTTTATTATCGTCAAAACGTAAAAGCAATTAAATTAATGCGGATATATATATATATATATATATATATATATATATATATATATATATATATATATATATATATATATATATATATATATATATATATATATATATATATATATATATATATATATATATATATATATATATATATATATATATATATATATATATATAAACTCTTCACATAGACATAAATAAACATAAATTGATTACGGGAATCTGGGAAAAGATTTTTAATCGAGTTTTAAATCTAAAAATGCTGAATGTTCTTTGATTTTGTTTTTTTTGGTATTAAAGTGTAGAAAAATAAATATAGTTATATAATATAACAGTTGCTTTACGAAAATTTATTCTAAAGCTTACATAAATATTATATTGATGTATCAATATTACATTAATGTATTTTTATCAATCTGATACATATAACTTTGGATATATATTTCACAATGATAAAGGTATATTTTGTATCGTATACCTCGAGAAGAAAATTAAATGTTACAAAAAAACAACTTTAAAATATGCAATAAAGGACTTTATATGATGTTGCCATTAATAATTTAAAATAAAGCATGTGCATAAATGTTAAACTGTCAATATTTGCAAACATTAACAAACTTATATGGCGTCAATTTTGGCAACAAAATACTCCCAACAAAGGCATACTAATATTATTCAATACAGCGCATTAAACAATATTAGCATTATTGAGCAAATGATAATTGCGCAAATCAGCATGTTAATAGATGCCCTTATTGATATGCAAATATTGGTGTAATAATGTTTACCAATATTGATTAAAAATTGTATGCCTTGTCCAATATTGGCAAAGGTACCTAATATCGTCCGAATATTGCACTAATATTTATTGTTACTAGGGAAATACAAATACACTTACACTTAGACATGCACGTACAAATATAAATAAATGCATGCATACACACATATACATATTTTTTTTTTTTTTAAGCAAAGAGTTTTGTGATATATCAAAATTTACAATGAAATAAATCGTGTTAATAAATAAAAGAACTGGAGCAAGCAGAAGACTTACACAAATAGTATAATTTATCTTTTTTCAGATAAATTATATTATTTGTGTATTTTTTTAAAAGAGACATTTTAAATCAAAGTCTTTTCGTAATAAGAGATTCTTAGATTCTTTTCTGAGTTTTTCCAAAGAGATGTGTCGAACATTATTATTTTTTGTGATAAATTTTGAAAAATGTTTCCATAGAAAAGGTCGACGGTAATGGATTTTGTAAGAATTTATTTTGAATTAGTTTTTGGA